GGGGGGCTGGTCCCAGGCCCTCCCATACTCCTATTCCGGATGAAACTGTAGTCCAGAAAACTACTTGTCGGCATCGACTTCCAGTTCGATGGTCTGTAGAATCATGATTAACCATTAGCCGACGGGGTGGTCGGGCCATTTCCTCCGCATTTTTGAGGACCGATATGGACCCCCTGAACGGTCGACAGCGTGGCCCAGAAGGTAGTGAAATAGCCAGAGAGCGCACGGGTTCGGTTCTAACCATTGAGATTAATACATTGAGACTAATAAAAGATCGACAAGTCTGGGCCTCGACTCGAGACTAACAGGATCTGCGAAACCATCGCCAAGTGTCTCATCCGAGCGAGCCCGCTGCATTGTCATGACCTGCGCTTTACCTTAACCGGTTTGGGGTTTGCAGGGGGGGTTGAACCGCCCAGCTGGAACCTGCTCAGTGATCGTGTGGGGTTGACCGTTGAACAATCAAGTTGAAGACAACGAATGCTCAACTCTCACTTCGAATCCGTGTCCGATCTTGTCTTCTGTGCTACTTATTATTTCCGTATTGCATTGCACGAAGTTGCCTTTGCCTGTGGGAGATTTAGTGCATCTTATTGAATATATTTTGCCAATGCAGGGTCACGGGAGTGATGCCGGTGCGAGGAACGGTTATAACTTGATCAAGTATGAATATGAGGATCTGGTTCTCGGATGCTGCCGAATTGACTTGTGCGTGCTTTTTTGTCAGTTCTCAGCATCTCGATCGGCCGCTGAGGAATACCTTTCCCGGGAGACCGTGCACTGCAGAATCACCAAGCTTGGCCGGCGGCCCTGGAGGCGGCGTGGACAGCGGACCTGAAAAGCGTGAAAAGGGACGCTGCTACGGCCCACGGATCACGGGCACGGGCCCATGCTCGCTAACTGACGGGCGCGATTGGTTTACGAGTAGATGTTTTGCGGGTCCCCCCTCTATTTGAGACCCTAGCACTAGTGCCTAGCGGTACTCCGAGTCCGGGTCCGGTCTGCGAAACCCCGTGGGAACAAAAGTGAGCAATCTTTCGGGTGTACAACGTAGAGTACCTTATAGACTGTACCTTAGTTTGACCATGGACAAGCTACGAGTTACAAGCTCAAGGGGTGGAACCAGATACACTAAGAACCGTTGTGGCTAGCCATAGTCTTTTCTACGTAGAGCCCCTTGGCCCTTGGGTGCTAGTGCTGTAGTGCACGATAAATGTCGTTAAGAGGACAGATATGATTTGCAAAGGGCTGCATTAAGAGTATTTAGAGCGTTGGGGCTCCGAGGCTCTATTGAACTACACCCTGTAGTGCGCTCTAGTTCACCTCCCGTGTGGCCATGCCCCTCATAGATGATAGCCCGGGCCCTGATGAGATGTATGATTCTATCCCCTCCCGGGTAAGTGGGTTGCCCGGTCAGTCCAGATCTATGGGAATGGGAGGAGGGTTTCTTCCGAGAACGGCGCAGAAAGAAGGCCAAGAAGACCTGCATTGCACCACTAAGTTAGGATAACCAGGGACCAGGGTAGGTCTTTGACAACCGTCAACCGGTTCGACTTTTGGGTTCCCCTGAACTGTCGATACTTGACCCAACCTGACGGTTCGCCGCCGCACGGTTGCCCGGGTTTCTTCATTTGGTTAGATATTTGATGTTTCCAAACTCCTCAGCCATCGTACCATTCGATCAGACTCTCGGTCCCCGCTTTATTAAGAAACTATTTCGACTTCCCGACTCGTGTCGTGACTCGTGCGTAGTTGAGGGCTATGTTTAAAGCCGTGCCGTGTCCGTGTCTTCCCAACCCCAGTGCTAAATAAGCTTCTTTTCCCCCAGTCCTTATTTGCCTTTTTCGAGGATTCCGACTGTCTCTTTTCCACTCGTTCAAAAATAACGGCATTCTTCGAGAGAGTGGGGGAAAAGCCTTGGAGAGCTTGCCGGCAACGAGTATGCTGAGGACTCGAGGAGACGACGCAGCGAAAAAAAAGGGGAAAAGAGAAAAGAGAAAACCCATTGAATCGACCGCTCAAAATTAACAAAGCAACAAGCAAGCTGCAAGCACAGAGCTGTCAAGACCCAAAACCATGGCGGACGATCAGGCTCGCCAGGATAGCCTCATGGTCACCACTATCGTCCTGACTTCCATATCAGGTATGTGAAACGGAGTGGCATCTGATGGTCTCAACTTTCTCCTGGAGTCGCAGGCGAACAACACTGAGGGTTGAGGATTGGTGTGTTTATTTCCCTCAACTGTTGAAGCTGACGGACTTTTCTCGTCCCTAACGTCTAGCCATCTGCGTCATCCTTCGTCTCATTGTCCGCGTCGTGGTGATCTTCCAGCCCGGTCACGATGACTGGGCCATCTGCGTAGCACTGGTCCGTCCTTGACTCCTTCCCCCCCTCGCCGTCGCCCTCCCTGCCCGAGATGGCCACTGACCACCATATATGTATAGCTGGCCATGATCGCCTACATGGTTGAGCTGCTCGTCGCCCGTGCCAACCACACGGGCTTCGCTATGGACATCCTGACGTACGAGAACATGGTCAACCTGATGAAAACAACCCTCGCCATCCAAGCAACCTACTACGTCGCCATCACTGCCATCAAGTCATCCATTCTGTTTATGTACCTCCGATTCAGTTCGTCACTCCTCCGCCATGCACGATGCCATATTGTCCACACGCAGTACTGACCAGGGAACCACCGTGCCTCCAGCTGTTGACCACAAACTAAGGAAGGCCATCTACGCGCTCCTCATTTTCCATGCCGTCTTCTTCGTCGTCTGCGTCATTGTCGTTTTCTGTCAATGCCAGCCGGTCGAAAAGTTCTGGGACCTCGCCGACCTGATCGAAGGCGAGTGCAACGTCAACGGCACCGCATTCTTTTACTGTAGGTTACATGTACCCCGAGGAATTGATCGGAAAGAGTTGAGATCACATGCATCCACGCCATCAAACTCACTTCGTTAACGAATTCTGACAGTCACATCGTCCGTCAACATCGTGACGGACATCATCATCCTCGCCCTCCCCGTCAAGACCCTCGCCCAGATCAACCGGCCGGCGCGCGAGAAGATCGCCCTCCTCTGCCTCTTCCTCATCGGCACCTTCGCCACCATCACGTCCATCATCCGCCTGCACACCATCTACACCTACACCCTCGCCACCGACCCCTTCCGCAACGCCATCCTCGTGAATCTGTGGTCCGTCATCGAGATCAACGTCGGCATCGTGTGCGCCAACGCCCCCGCCCTCAAGGCGCTCTTCTCGTCCAAGCTGCGCCGCCAGGCCGCCTCCCGCAAGAAGGGAGGCACCGGCCTTTCCGGCACGACGGGCACGACCTCGAATCCCAAGTACGGCGTCTTCAGCCGCGCTGGGCGCTCGGGGCAGGAGAAGCTGACCGGGAGCGGCACTGTCGACGTCCCGACCGACGAGACCGAGTTGGAGACGTGGCAGGAGGTGTCGTATCCTGGGCCTGGCATCAGTATCCGTACGGATATCAATGTTGGTGTTGAGGGGCGGCCCGAGGGGGAGGGGTTGGATAAGTATCCGAACATGAAGACTTGGAGCAGCCAGGAGCATATTATGCAGCACCCGTGAGGGGAGAGGAGCGAGGGGGCGAGCGAGCGTATTCAACAACATTTACAGAGTCAAACACATGTGTCACTGTGTGGCACGTTACCCACATTACACATACTCATGTTTTCATAGTGTACCTATAGATTGTCAGAATAGGAGGAATAAGTCAACCATATCCTAGCAGAGATGGCCAGTGCAACTTGCAACAAGTCAACAACTTACACTCTCACGGTGCGAGTCGATCTTGTAAGCCGAGGGAGTGCCTACTTTGTAGCAAAAGGGCTTGAGCGTTGAAGATGAACGAGATGCATAGACAAAAGAAGCTTAAAACGTCCTTTGTCACCAACAAACCCCTGAAGAATCAGCCCACTCCCGTACTCTCGGGTTTCGTTAGCCTGCAGTCGACAAGAGACCATCCCCCGCGTCAGTTGTCAGGCCTGCGGCTTGGCGATGCGCTCAGACAGACCATGGTCCACAGTTCGGAACACTCCAATCGCATGAACCATGGTGTCGGTGCTATTCGGTGGCGTCGGCGAGAGTCGAGGCCATTATGTCAGAGTAATGGACGGCACTGGGGGTGTCCTATGTCGGGACATTCTATGGCCTCATGCTCGAACTGTGTGTTCAATGATTCGTTCAAGTACAGGCTGGACACTACTACAGTCTAGTCAGGAGTCAATATTAATGATAGCCCCGTGCCGTCTCGCTCAACAATTTTCCCCCCCTTTCCCCTTTTCCCCTTTTCCCCTTTTCCCCTTTTCCCTCCTTTTTCTTTTTCTTTTTCTGTTTCTTCTTCTTCTTCTTCTTCTTCTTCTTCTTCCTTTTTTTTTTCTTTTTTGATCTTTCGTCTTTCTGCCTTTCTGTCTCTCGACTAGCTCATTCCGGCGGACCTCGCCACCACCAAACGACAAGCGCCAGAGGGGCATACAGTCAAAAACCAAAGTACAACCAAGTTATAGGAGGTAGCCAGATATCACATATGGCAATCTCACATTCAAGTTGATCGACATTGTCTCCTTGATGAGCAGAAGTGTCCCAATATCTCCCACTTCGTTAAATCCCCCCAGGCTGTCAACAAATCAGCAAGCGGTCCTGCGTGTAAGTGGGATAGTTGTCCGTTATATAATTCTATTAATACTACAGTCAAGTTATCTCTATATGGTTTGCCCACCTGTCTTCCTCATTCCCTTCCCCTTCTCTTCCCCCTTGTTTTTCCATTGTCCTTTCTCTTTCTTATTAGCATCAAATGCAATTCGTCTAAACTGGTTCGGCTGCTCATAAAAACCAAGTCGAAGCTGCAAGGCCAACCAACACAGCAAAGCGGCTCACGCCGACACGGACAGAAGCCGAATCATCATCATCGGCACCCTGTCCATCGCTATCTTCATTCTCCGAACCACTCGATTCCTGTGCATTACCATCAGAAGTTTCATCTGGAGTTTCCTCGGTCCCCTCATCCTCCGTAACCCTCCCGGTAGCCGGGGGGACAGCCCCGTCAGCCAACAAACTCAGGACAGCCGCCAACCCGCTCATCTGCTCCGCCGCGCCATCAAGTTCGTTACGACCAGGTGCGACAAACTCGCCACTCTCCCAGTAAAAACCGCACTGTCGGCCCGTTTCGCCGCCAGTGCACTGGTCAACAGCAGACTGCGCCGACGTCCGGAGGAGGGGACGGATAGAGTCGGCGGCGAAGGGAGCGACTTGGGGAGTGGCGCCAAGCCAGCGATGGGCGAGGCCCTTGAAGGTGGGAAAGTCGGGGGCGCAGATTCGCATCCCCTCGCAAGCTATTTCGACGAGAGTGCCGCTGGGGAAGAACCGGTCGAGGAGGGAGCTGGAAAGGCCCTCGACCCGGTTTCTCCAGGTGTCGGAGCCGTTGGTCTGTGGGGGCGGGGCCGCGGGGGGCAAGAGTTAGTAGGCGCTTGGTTTTGCACGCAAGCAGGCTGGGCGGAAACCCACATAGTTGTACATGAATGCCGCGCCGTGTGTGAAGATGGCGGCCTCGTGCGAGAAAATAACATGCGAAATGTCACTGCAGTTGTCGTTGGTGTGGGCGCCTTGATAGACGACATACGTATCAGGGTCGATGAGTCCGATGCGGGACATCCAGTCCCAGGTCTTCCCCGCATACTCGGCGTACGTTTCGTTGCCGGTATACGTGGCTAGACGGGACGCGAGGTCGAAGAAGCAGCCATTGGTAAATGCTGTCATGGTAGACGTGAGACGTCAGTTTCGTTTCGGTCTCCCGCCTCACTCAGAACTCTCCCCTGTCACCACAATCTGCAAACTTCAATGTTCTCTCCACGCGGCTTCAAGGGAGCAAAGAACAGCTCATACCACTTTTGTAATGGAATCCCCCCCCCTGGAGTCTGTTGAACTGCCATGGCAGACCGCCACCGCATGTCTCAGAGCCGTCGGTATCAAAGCGGACAGCCAAGTCATTAAAGACGTTCGTGGCGAGGTCGAACCACTGCGGATGATCACCCCCGGGGCTCGGGAGGCCGTACTCCAAAGCGGACATGGCGGCCAGGCTCCAAACGCACTGATCATCATTCGCCATGCTGTCCGACTGGTTCCGCGGGATGAAGTTGTGGGAAGGGCCAACTTGGTGCAGAATGCCCTGGGTGACGATGTCGTTGTAGGTGTCGTCGCCGATGAAGTGCCAGTAGTCTATAAGCGTGTCCATGAGGACGCCGCCCTGGTAAAACCAGTAATGATAATCGGGGAGGAGGCCGGGGACTCGGCCGGACTCGTTGCCGTGGTAGAACTGGTTCATGAGGTCAAAGCCGAGGACTTGGGCGGTGTCCCGGATGTTGTCTGGGGTGTCGAGACTGAAGAAAGAAGCAGACGACTGTGCGGTTGCTGAAGAGGCGGTTAAAAGAAAAAGAAGAACGACGGTATGAATTCTCGCGCGGGTTGGCGCAGAGAGATGTAAGTCAATCATGTTTGTAGGCTGTAGCTGAGACTTGGGTCTTGGACAAAGAGAACGTCGAACGAGATGAGGGGGGAGCGACTGTCTTGTGTAGGAGTCTGGATTAAATGAATGATCGAAAATTGCCGTGAAATGATGACGCTACTGTAAGTCTGTACGAATTAGAAAAAAAACCGATATGAGGGAAGATGAAGATCGGAGGCAGCCATGAGTTTCGCAGTCAAACACGGGCAGGGAGTCTGGGGCCAGGGGGCGCCCAAGCCGCTAAGCCAAATGGAGTGACCGAAAATAGGATTTTGACATTTTTGAACATCCTCATTGGTCAGATCTCGGCGACAGACCCAGCAAAAGTCCAATGAATAGTGGGTCTTCGGACCTGTCGCATGGGCACGTGACCATAAAGGGGTCGCGCCCGGACGAATAGGTCTTCGGACCGCGGCCTTTAGGGTGGCTTGGGCTATGAATCTTAGTAGGTCTTTAGCTAGATATTGTAACCACAACTGACCTCGACTGGTACTTCCAGAAGCCTTATACTATGTCCATGTATAAGCCCCAATTTGAGGTCAACGGGCCGATCGTCGACAGACCGAGTCACCGAGGAACCCGGAGCCGGTCCCACTTTTCCACCGACCGGAGCACGCAGTTTCTTAGATTCAAATGATGAAATTATAGAATTTGATTCATACATAGTACCAGAATCAGATTTTCGGTCCGGGATCCGGACATCTAGTCGCATCGGTAGTGGGTCCCTAATCCCTTTACCACCGAAAAGGAAAGAGGGAGTTGGCCTGGAATTGTCCAAGGAGGAAATATGTTATAAGAGACTAAAAGGCATACAACCTAATCATTCTATTGTTTCACAAAGTGCCTTTGAGTAGCCCTGTCTGACATTCAACTGAGATGAGTAACTATGATATATCATATATAGCAGGCTAGGGAACAATAACACCCGAGCTTAGTCCCCTCAGCGATCGAAGAAACCGTCTAGACTCTACCAGTCATAGCGGCCGCCCCGTCTCTGAATAAACGTTCCAACCTCCGCGTCCCTCTTCCCCTCGACAATCTCCAGAATCCCCACGGCACTCGTCTCGGAGCTCTCGGCCCCTTGCTTGACTCGGTTCTCCCGATCCTCCTCGCCCGACAGATTGGTCACCACATACCCGGGGCAGAACGACCACACCTTAACCCCCCACGCCCTATTGTTCATATACAAGCAGGCCGTGGCCATATTCATAGCCGCCTTGGACATGCGGTAATTCTCAGCCGTGATGTCGGAGCCGAACTGGTCCGGGACGAGCCGCTCGCTGATGGACCCCAGCCCGGAGGAGACGTTGATGATGCGGGGGTCCTCGGACTTCTTCAGGAGCGGGAGCAGCGCCTCGGCGAGCAGGAGGGGCCCGAAGGCGTTGACGTTCATCGTCTCCGCCAAGGCGGCGCGGCGGCTTTCGGCCCGCGGGAAGATGATGCCGGCGTTGTTGACGAGCACGTCCAGGACGCCGTGGTCGGCGGTTATCTTCTCGACGGCGGATGCGATCGACTCGTCCGTGGACACGTCTAGCTCCAGGAGGCTTAGCGTCCCGGCTGGCTTGCGGGCCTGGAGCTCCTCGAGGGCCTTGGTGCCTTTGGTTAGGCTACGACAGCCCATGATTACGTGGTTGTTGGCCGAGGCGGCGGCCAGGGCGTAGCTGGTGTCGTACCCGATGCCGGAGTTGGCACCTATGTCGGACTTTTGGTCAGTAGGGCTAGGAGAAAGGTAGGGAAATACAAATACATGATGTAAAATGGGCACATAGTCGCAGGAGTGCGACGGCGATTCATGGATCTCTTTTTGGCAACTTACCGGTAACGAGGATTACTCTGTTGGGGGCCATGGTGAATGCTGATAAGGTAGTTGTCGCGAAACAGTTTGTAAGTCGACAACACTAGCTGTGGGCTGAAGTTGCTGTGATTGTGAAGAGAGTTGAGGGGAGTGTGAGAAGATTGTCTCGATACTGTGGCACAGGATGGCTTTCTTCTGTGTTCCAACTCGTCTACGTCTTCCTTCTTATACTCACATTCACACTAAAACTATTTAGCACTGGACGGCCGTCGCACACATGTCGTCCTCAGAGCCGAGGTCTGTAGACGTAGACGTTTATTGGAAATCAGATATACGGTATACCCCGGACTTAGGGAAGACAAGTCACAAACTCCACTAATCCTACCGCCGTCTCACCCAAGGCTTCCAAGTTATCAATTAAGAGTAAATGAATAAGTGAGATAGATGCATGTTGAAGTATTCGGCTGCTTGGTAATTCAATCAAGTACGGCGTCAGTAGGGGAAAATGGATTTAACTCCCATGTTGAGAGCCTAAGCTCCGGCATAATGAGAGTCTTAATGATTCTGCAAATGAATCACCAGATTGCTGACAAGGGGCGGTTCGATTTACGTCCGTCTGACGGCCTGAGTTAGACCCGTCTGGTAGCTTCGATTGCCGCACCGTCCACAGCACATTATTAATCGCTTTCTTGGCTAGTTTTCTGAGCTTACAACGTATGTCTCCGACGACCAAAACCAATGCTCTTCTCGGCTGCCCGGGAACCAGACCATGCGGATCCCGGCCATAATTACTCCACGACATGATGGGAAACGGAAACAGATCCTTTGTTCACCTTGTTGATGTGGCGAACATGCTCATGGGCAAAGGATTCGGATATAGCCCGGGGGCCACAGTCGTCAAACACTTACCCCGTCTCCTCCGAGGAGCCGGGCCTTCTTAACTCCGGCCGGTTTACATGTCTTCCTTCTGAATCCTTCGCGGGACGTTCCAACGACTCCGCGATGACACGACTATACCCTCTCCTGTAAATCAGCGCCAGGGCGTGGGACCATAGACGGTGCAGGAACCGCAGTGTGCACCTGAGGTCAAGTTGTTCTCGGAATATGCGAGTCCAAATTTGCCTCTAAAGATCCTGTCTCCCCGAGGCTTCACAGGACGGTCCATCATGTTTGGGAAATACTATACACGAGGAACTGCTAAATTGAACCAAAGAAAACTGTCATTAGGTGTAGGCTATGTAAATGACTTCTCTATATGCCGAAGCCCCTATCATAATGGGCTGGGAGTTGTATATGAAAACCACTTCCGTACTAACACAATTGGTGAACCCATTTCCCGAAATATGCAAACATACTAAAAGATATACATCGACCCTCCTGTCGGCCAGGAATCTCACCCGTCCATCATACATCATCCCCTTATGGCGCTTCACTCTCGGCGATCGACCGCAGGACATACAGACTCATCCGCACCCCGGCTCCGCAGAAAGAAGACGCGTCGCCCGGGCACAGGAAACTGCACTCCTCATCGTCCACTTCCGCGCCCTGCCGGGCCGATGGCGAGTCGCCAGCGAGGCCCAGCTCGTTGCCGCACCAGCACTCCCTGCCGTACTCGACACCGCCGTAGTTGTAGCCGTCGCACTCTTCCAGACAGACGTCGATGGACATGTCGTCGCCGTCGTTGAGGACCTGGTGAGGTAGGAGACGGCCGGGATCCGGCTCGGAGTAGCAGCCGAGGTAGACCCAGTCGTCGTTACCTGGGTGGGGGGTCGGCGATGCGGGCGCGGTCGAGGTGGAAGAGGTGGTCGGTGATGGGGGAGCGCTTGACGAGGCGGGAGCACTCGATACTGAAGGGGCGCTCGACACCGCAGGGGAGCTTGGCACCGCAGGAGCGCTTGACGTCACGGGGGCACTCGACACGAGAGAAGAAGAACTTGATGTTGCGGGAGCACTCGACACTGCAACGTCGCTCGACGCCGCGGGACCGTCCGTCACCGCCGGGTTTTGCGACTCAGTAGTGCTGCTAGGCTCGACCGACGCAGCGGCAGTCGTGCTACTCTCAGCGCTGTCAAGGCGGTACAGCTCAAGCCGGTTCCCGGCGCCGCAGAACTGGGTGGCGTCGCCAGCGCACGGGAAGTGGCAGTCGTCCTGGTTTTCGGCCAGGGAGCTGCCGCCGTTGAGGGTGTCGCCGCAGTAACACTCGCGACCGTACTCGGCGCCGAAGTACAAGGTGCCCTGGCAGAATTCGGCGCAGGCCTCCAGGGTCATGTCGTCGTCAGCGAACATGCGGGTGGTCAGGGCGCGGATGCCGTCGCCTTCGGTGTAGCATCCCTCGAATACCCAGCTGCCGACCCGCTCTCTCTTGTGCTGCGTGGGGGTCGCGGCCTCCGATGACGTGGTGGTGGTCGTCGTCGAAGTCGTCTCGCTGACCGAGTCGCTGCTGGTTGGAGCAGCTTCTGAAGTCGGCACGGGGATGCTCGAGCTGGCCAGCCAGTCACTGCTGGACGGAGGAGAGACGGGGACGGAGCCTTCTGACACCCGTTCGTAGACGTTGAGACGTTCGGAGCCACCGCAGTACTCGGTCCGGTTACCGTTACAGGTCATGCCGCACTCTTCATCGGGTGCGAGAAGAGACTGCTGGTGCATCTCGTTTGCGCACCAGCACTCGCCGCCATACTCAACACCGGCAAATACGTAGTCGTTGCCGGAGCAGGCCGCAATGCACATGGCCACGGTCTGCGCTTCCGTGATGTGGAAGTAGGGCAGTGCTCGGGCGCCAGGAGGCTCGGTGTGGCAGCCGATGCTGACGTAGCCGTTCACACCAGGGTTGACTTCGGGTCCGGGCGGGTCATTGGGATCGGTGGGCTCGGGATCGGTCGGGTCCGTAGGGTCAGTAGGGTCAGTCGGCTCGGGGACTTCCGGGATCGTTCCCTCGCCATCGTCGTCGAGAGTATCGGCGAAGAGGGAGATGAAGGAGCCGCCAGAGAGTTCGTTAACACCGTTACCTCCGCAGATTTGGTTGATGTCACCCGAGCAGTCGTAGTTGCAGTGGACATCGGCAACCCGCTCCGTGGGGATCGTGGGACCGGCCCAGCATTCACGGTGGTACTGCATACCGCAGTAGGTATGGCCCGCCTGCGCGCAAGCGTCAATGCACATGGCCACCGTGTTCTGGTCGTCGCCGTAGAGCTGGGTAGCAAGCTGGCGGCCGGGGTTGTTCTCCTTGTAGCAGCCGACATACTGGTAGCGGCCCAGGCCGTTGGCGAGGAGCGGAGGCGCCTGCTGCGAAACAGCGTTGCAGGCAAAGTCAATGACGTGGTAGTTGAAATTGGGGTCGTTCGTGTTCATGGACCACGTCGCGTGGCCGTCGTAGGGTTCCATGTTCCACTGCCTCTTGGGGACGGCACAGTAGAGGACGGCCGAGGCGCTCTGGCCGGGGGCGATAGCCGTGCCCTCGCCCAAGTCGACCTGGTTATTCGCGCGGATGATGCCGGAGGCGCCAAAGGGAGGCTTGGAGACGGAGACCATGAGGCGAATGCCGCCCTCGGGAGCGGCGTTGGTCAGGCGCATGCGCAGGCTCCTCAAGCTGTTCTCCGTGACGTTGCCGAAAGTGAAGTTCTGGCCCGTCACGTAAGGGACCCAGCCGGATGCGTCTACGGTCTGGAACTCGATAACGGCGACGGGGGCAGGGCCGGCCCATCCGGAAATGGTGAACTCGCCGTCGCCTCCGTCGGAAGAGATCTTGACGTGGCCGCTGTAGTTACCGGGGTTGGCAGGATCAAAGTGGACGTAGACGGTGGAGCCCGAGTTGCCGGCGATGGTCGAGGGCAGATCGGTGATGGTGAAGGGCCCAATGGTCAGATCGCCGCTCGTCGGGTCCAAGGTCTGGAAGGTGCCGTTGATGGAATCGGCATATTGGATCTCGGTCACGGTCAGTGGGGAGTTCCCCTGGTTGCGGAAGACGAGGTTGTTGGGCGCCACCGAGGCGTTGCCGGCAATGACGTTCTCGAACCTGATGGTTCGGGAGCTGATGGACAAGCTCGGACTTTCGCTCTCACCAGTGCCGGACAGCCTGATGGAGGTGGTAGTCCTGAAGCCGTCGACGCTGTTATCGGTCTCGACAGCGATGTCGGTAGACAGGAGGCCAATCTCGGTGGGCGCGAAAGCGGCGCTGAGCTGGAAGGATTCGCCCTCGGACAGCGTCAGGGGAAGGGCGGGGAGGTCCGAGACGCTGTAATCGGTGTCGTCGCTCAGCGTAATGGCGTTGACCTCGACATCGATTAAAGCGACGCAAGAGAGTGTGTGGGTTTCACCGGTGATTTCGATGCCGACGGTGCCAAAGTCGTAGGGCGTCGTGCAGTTCAGAGGCGACTTGACAGGCGCACCGAAAGCGTGGAAGCGGCCGGTGGTGCCGCCCATGTACATGATGCCGTCGCCAAAGACGGCACGGGTGAACTTGGTGGTAGCGCCGATCTCCCACTTCCTCACCAGGGTGAGCTCACCATCATTCGGCACGGCATCATAGATTCGCAGCTGGCCGGGAGGGTTCTGCACATCGGTGAGCCAGAGAAGGCCGGTGCCAGGCTGGCCATTGAGCGAAGTGACGGTGCCGTGGCTGACACCGAGAGTGTACGAGTTGGATTCGGGGGCTTCGGCAACCTTGGTGAAAGAAGGCACGCCGTTGTTGCAAGAGAAGCGGAAGACGACGGTCGGGTACTGGACGACTGTGGCACAAGTGAGGTGAGCAAAAAAAGGTGTGGTTACTGGAGCGATTCTTTTTCTTTTTCTTTTTGTTTTTTTCTTTTGTTCTTTTGTTTCTTTTTTTTTCTTTTCTTTTTTGCATCGAATGCCGTGAATGCGAATCCTTGACATACCATTGATGTACAGATAGCCTCCCTCTCCGGGGTAGACGCCGGCACCGGCGTAGACCGAGTTCTCGTGCTGGTAGATCTGAATAACGTCGTCCAAGCCGACGCCTCCATTGCGATAGCCGCCGAGATGGTCGAGATTGACCCACCAGGTCTTCCCGCTCTTTCCGGTAACGACACCGATGCGCCTGATGTCGCCGCAAGAAAACTCGTCCGGGAGGATTTGCAAGGGGCTAGAGCCCACGTCCTGGTCGGCGCCGTCCAGCTGCCGCTTCTCGTGCGGCATGAAGAAATCAACAAGGTCCAGGCTTCCGTCATCCTGGACGGTCATGTGCACGACGGCCTGTTCCAGGGCGGTCGGAGGGTTGCGGCCGTTCACGGGGATGTCGTGCAGCTGCGAAGCATAGCCGTTTCCGGTCGCGAAGAAGATGGAGCCGGCGCCGTCGTAGGCCAGGCCGCCGCCGGCCATCCAAATGCCGGCGCCTTCGTCGAGAACGCCGTCGCCCTGGGTGGCGAAGTGCTCGACCAGCTCGCCGGTTTCCTTGTGCCAGCCCATGATCCAACCGGTGAAGTTGTACTGAACGCAGTGGGAGCCGAGGCCGGCGTAGATCCAGTCGCCGACGTGGAGCAGGGCGGGGCGTTGGAGGTGGATACCGCCATTGAAAGAGCGTAGAGGGTTGTTCCTGGCAGTGATGCCTTCGAGAGGAACGGGGAAGTTGGGGCGCTCGCTGAGGTCGTTGACGTCGATGGCATGGAAGTAATGACGGCCGGCGGGACGTCCCTGGGCGACGTTGAGTTGGGTTTGGTCCTCGTAGGTTTTTGCGAGGAAATACCAGGTATCGGTTTCGGGGTCGATGACGCCGGTACCGACGATACCGATGTGTGGGTTGATGTCGAGACATCCGCTGAGATCTTGGGTCAAGAAAGGAATGTGGAGGTTTCGCGAGGCGATGATTTCGCCGGTCAGAGCGTCGAGCTTGTAAATATTATTTTGGGTGGTCGCAAGATAAACAAACTGTGTATCATCAGGGGTGTAAACGAGTGGCTGAGAGAAGATCTGCTCGGGAGAACCGCCGTAGCGGCCGGGAAGCTCGGTGACGAAAAGACGATCGAACTGGGAGCTCCGAACGATGGCTGGGTCCAAGTTGTGGTTCCTGTGGGCGCGGCGCGTTCATAATCAGTTGTGGCGATCCAAAGTCGTAGACAATCAAGAGAGAGAGAGAGAGAGAGAGAGAGAGAGAGAGAGAGAGAGAGAGACGGGCGACACAGAAAAGGGAAGAAAACGTACGTCTGATAACCAGCACGGGAGTTGTCGCCTCCCCAGGTGATGGTGTCCGTGTCGGCGAGGCCATTGGCCAAGCCGACGACAGACAGCATCAACCACGCGATCAGGTTCATGATGGCGAGCCCGAGCCGACAAGAGACCACGACGGGATGGGCGAAAATAGTAACGAATGTCGAAAGGTGGGATGAAGGACGTTCAGAGGAACCCCCTTGGGGTTGGAGGGAGGGGATTGTCAAATAATAATACGGTACTTGGTAATATTAAACGGGAGAGCCCGAGCCGCGGTTTTCCTATGGCGGGTGGCGCATCCACTATCCGGAGTTCCCTTATCCCCGTTTGGCAGTAGATAGGTATTCGTAGGCGAGGCCATTTCGCATTTATTCATTCATTAGCGCAAGCACCGACCAAAGGTGGGCCCCTGATCTGGTTGGGAGGATAAAGACGAAGATGAACAGACCAAGGTATGACCTCTCGCCTTGCACCCAGGCCAAGTCCGGTCTCCATGGTTAGGTGTGACGCGACACCGATAGGGGAGAGGCCGATCCTTCCGCGAAGAGGAAGCTCCAAGACACAAGGGCGAACCGTGCATTTAGTGTCTCAAGCACAGTTCTGAAGTGGGTAATAGCCTTGCAGTTCCGTACGTTGTGCCCTGCAGGAACAAATCTCGTTTGAGGTTGGCATGGCGCGTTGCCAAATCACCCTGGAACCGTTGGAAAGTCGGCCGAGAGACCGAATCAGCTTCCAGGGGGGTGCCTGTCGATCACTCCAGCTCAGGATTGGCGCTGTACACGTATGTACGGTTACGGAGCAAGGGTGATGGGATGGTGCTGGCACCCCACCGTCAATCAGTCCAGTCCACTACGTTGTAGAAGAGAGAAAGAGACTTGTCCAACAATTGCAGAGGGAGAGTGTGATTGATCTCTTCTTGTATGGGTCTGCGTATAACGTAGGACTGCCTCGGTAATGGCGTGTTTGAGGCGAAGAGACCATCAACTTTTTGTTTGCCGTACGCTACTTTCGTACGCATTCGAACAATCGAACGAGGCTGTTCAGCCGAGAGACGATATGCTAAATTGACGTCGTTTGACGAAACGGTTAATACCGTGGCCGGCAAGGCGTTGAAATGGATTCAGGTCGGTCGGCATTCTGCGTGGGTGAGTATGTAAGGTGGAACGGCACGGCCTGAAGTGGGCTGGGTTTCCTTTTGTGGGCCCTAAAAGGGGGATTTCTGCAGTTTGCTAAAATTTCTTCAACAAGCTGAGAAATCCGCGAATGTCACCTGCGTGGCACGAAGCCCTAGTGCAGCACGTGGAATTGGGGCCTACGCCTTGGGCGGTGAGGTACGTTATACTTTCCATCCGTACTCCGTGTCCGTAGTCCGATTTCTCCCCCATTTTTCTTTACCTTTATTACCCTTCTCCCTTTTTTCTTTTTTCTTTCCTTTTCTTCAGTCCCTAATTCTTACGAAAGTCTTATCTGAACTCCATGCCAAGCTCTGTATCTGCTAGAATCCGCTAGAGATAGGCTAGAATCCCGGGGAGACGGCAAAGCACAACTATCACTGTTTCGTCGCCCCTCCTCCTAATTTTTTTTTTTTTTTTCCTTTTGATGCGTCCCTTCAGTATTATCGATCATCGTCCCTCACCTCGAATGAAAAACGAGGGCCCACTATACCTTGCTCTGTATGAAGCGACAGCCCTGCAATTTCATACGTGGTATAAATAGCGACCGCACTCAGGGGTAAAGACGTTATCGACTTCATTGTGACCCGTGTCTCAATATCTCCTGAAAATGAGGTGATAAAGGTGATATCATGCAGCAGAAGTGGAACGACGACGAGAATGGCTCGATCAAGGTTACCTTTTCGCCCCTGCCATATGTATCCTGCGCTCACCGGTGCTTCCACTGTTCCAAACACCGCACCGCGTCTCGCCGAGCGTCGATCATTCCGATATCCATCTGGCCCAGTTACCTATTTCGAATTTGCGACCGGACGGACTATCGCGTATTCAGGTCGAGAACTGCAAAGTACGAAATAGTAGAGACGAGGAAACACTAGCAACTTGGTTCTATTTGACCCGCGCAGCCAACTCTATCAAACAATAACAGCGGGTAGCTCTCGGGAGGGCCTTGGGAACTGCCGCGTCAACCATACTCCGTCACCAAGCAATGAGAGAAGTCGTGTGTGGGCGTGGTCGTGGTCGTGGTCGTGGTCGTGGTGCTTGTGGGGGTTTTTTTTTTTGTCCATTAATAAAGGGTTGCAAGAAAACCGCCACATCAACTGCACAAAACCCCCATGCCAGTTGATTGTAGAAATTCGGAATGTGCCGTCGCTACTGTCTGGCCTTGTTGGGGGTCTTGTCAAAGTGGTATTCTATAATTACCAAGTCGTAGAAACGTGTTCATTCGATCCAATTGTCAGGCTGCGCTTCATGCCGTACGCAGAGTGACACATGTTCCAGGTCGCATTTCTTGCATGTCGATGACTAGCACGTCCTCGGTCTGGCCCTCGCCGTCTGCTCCAGACACCTGTTGTCTTGCCTATGTGGCTTGCGTAATCTGGAGATGAGAAGAGAAGGATTCTTTTTCTTCTTCTTCTTCTTCTTCTTCTTCTTCTTCTTCTTCTTCTTCCTCTTCTTCTTCGTCTTCTTCGTCTTTTCTTATGGGAGATGAAACGGAAGCAAAACAAACCACTCGGGAACTGAGGTAAAAAATAGCTTCCTGATCAAAGTCGTGTCACTGTCTTCGTTCCTTTCATTGTGCGACCGTTGACCGCAAAAGGTGGGTGGGCCAGCGATACCGGTGAACTGGTTTAGGCTCGGGACGTATCCAGATCCTCGGGTCCAGCTTGCTTCTTTCTGACCACCACGATTGCTTCAACCGCGAATAAATAAATGTACGGCAACATCTCGTCATGCCACGGCCCACGAGCCTTGGAATCCTCACTCCGAATAATGTTACATTGTATGCTAATCACGATAGAGCCCTGCCCGTCAAAACATTACGGTCGACTCCGCCTAAGCAATCATGAACACGCCACAACCCTATTCCTTGCCCCTCCATCCTTGTCCGCTGGGTGGTGTCTTTGCTAGTCCAGTGCAACCCCGATAGGGACGATGGTTGTTAGACCAATTGCTTAAGGTAGGGGATACGTAATATGATGGATGGGGTATAGTCCAGTAACATTTCAACGGTTCCCTAACTTCCCTATCCTTGATCAGTCCTGACGCCATCTCCACTTCTTCGAAAATGGACTGGGGCCCCCTCTCTAACGTACGGTACCATTACAATTCCCAGGGGAAGTTCCGCTGCCACCACGATGTCTTCTTCTCCTTTTCTTGATCAATTCCTTGTGTCTGCCGTTGTTTGTTCTTTTCCCATCTCCCGTCTTCTTGATCGCCTGAACGTCCGTCAGATCCCACCATGGCTCTTCTCGTGCTCATCGCGGGCCTCGTGCTCGCGGGCCTCCTCGCCCGCGAGTTTTATAGCTGGTACCGTCTCTCGCACGTCCCCGGCCCGTTCTGGAACTCCGTTACGGGTTGGGCTATGGCGCGGACCGCCCTCAAGGGGAGTGTCCACGAGTCTTACATGGAACTCGAGGCCGAGTTCGGTATGTCTCTCTCAGTGCATCATCTTTGAAGTTTGCGCGACATGGTGCATGTTGCATCATCCGCTCACTCACGTCCTACAGGGCCCTTGGTCCGCATTTCGCCCAACACCGTCATGTTTAGTGATGGGGACACGCTGCGGAAAATCGCCGCCGTGCGGAGCAAGTACACCAAGGGTGAATGGTATGTGGTGGGAAGGACAACGCCTGGCGAGGACCATCTCTTCTCCATGCGCGACGAGGAGAAGCGCAAGCATCTGAAGAGCAAGATGGGACCTGGTGTGAGTATTTTTTTTTTTCTTTTCTTTCTCTTTCTCTTTCTCTTTCTTTTTCTTCCCATCTCTCGCGCCTTACACTCAACCCCCGACAGTACTCCGGCCACGAGAATGGCGGATTCGAGGATGGCATCGACAGGAACATCGCCGCCTTCGTCAACCTCATCGAATCGAAATACATCTCCACCGCAACCGACTACCGGCCCATCGATATGGCTAGCGCCGCTACCTACTTTGCCCTCGACGTCATCAGCGAGCTGGGCTTCGGCACTCCGTACGGTTTCCTGAAGGAAGACCGCGACCTTTACCAATACGTCCAGACCAAGGACGCTTTCTTCCCCGTCATGATCACCATGATGAACGTACCTTTTCTTGCCAAACTCATGCACAACTGGCCTCTCAATCTCGGCTTGCCCAAGTCGGGCGACCAAGCCGGGTTCGGTGCTCTTATGGGGTGGGTTACCGGACCCCCTATTCAATTCTTTTTTTGAATTTCTTTTTTGAGACTCTGAGCATACTAAGACCAAACAAAATACAGGTTTGCAAAGAATTTCGTCGACAACAGGATGAAACCCGACGCAAAGCCAGGACGGGACATGATCCAGTCGTTCATCAACGCAGGCTTGAGCCGCGATGAACTGACGCAGGAGGTTTACGTTGAAACGTACGTCCATCTCATACAGAGCGACCCCCCAACACACCTAACCCTTCTTCTTCCTTTCGTCTTCCCCTTCGACTAATCTCAACACCAACAACCCTTCCAAAAAAAAACAGCATCGCCGGCTCCGACACAACCGCAACCGCAATCCGCATGACCCTCCTCTCCCTCCTCTCCAACCCAGCCGCCTTCACCGCCCTCCGCCACGAAATCGACACCGCCATCGCCTCCCACCGCATCAGCTCCCCGATCCGCGACGCCGAAGCCAAATCCCTACCCTACCTCCAAGCCGTCATCCGCGAAGCCCTGCGCCTCTACCCGCCCTCCACGGGGATCGTGAGCAAAGAGGTGCCCGCGGGCGGCGACACCATCCACGGGTACTACCTCCCCGCGGGGACGCAGGTCGGGGAGAACGTGTGCAGCATCGGGCGCGACAAAGACGTCTTCGGGCCGGACGCGCACCTGTTCCGGCCGGAGCGGTGGATCGAGGCCGCTGAGGACAAGGACGAGGAGAGGTTTAAGAATATGCTGGCTGCCGTGGACTTGGTGTTTGGGTATGGCAAGTTTTATTGTGTGGGACGGACCATTGCGCTGATGGAGTTGAATAAGGTCTTTGTTGAGGTGAGCTTTCGCTCCCCCCCCCCCCCCCCCCCCCCCCGGGGGGCTTTCCTTTCCTTTTCCTTTTCTTTTTCCTTTTCTCTGCATTTCCCTGCTGTGTCTCTACGTGCGTTCTGGTCGACCTACGTGAAATGAAACCCTTCGCTAACCGAGACAAATCTTGTGTCCTCGTCTAGCTTATCCGGAGATACGATCTTGCTATTGCAAAGCCCGAGAGACCTATGAAGCTTTTCAGCGCTGGCTTCTGGATTACCCACGAGTTTTGGCTTCGTGTGACCAAGAGGGCTGCCGGACCGTGCAGCTGAAATCCCCATGTCTAAATCAAATATCGCTTGCTACCCACTGCTTCAAGTCTGTCTATATAAAAATACAATGCCAACCCAGATGATGACCCATCCCGACTCCAGGATCCGGCCGTCAATGAGACCCATGGTCACATCCAGTCGTAAGATAGTGTACAGGAACCTCCAGTTGTTATCCACCCGCGAACGTCGTTAAAACTCAGATCGTCATGGCGTGGTAGCTCCGCTAAGCGGAGGCGCCACGGTCGACGGCTCGAGAGTAGGCGGTTCGACCTCCTCCTCCATATCCTTTGCAGAATCCTCCACAGCGGCGACATCCTTGCCGACATCCTGGCCGGCCGTCGCATCGGCCTTGGCAGGATTGCCCATGCCGATACTGTCAATCCAATGCCAGCAATGGATTTTCCCACCACCGCCACGGTCGAAGATGGCTCGGTCATTGAGGATTCCGTCATCGGAACCACTGTGTCCATTTTGTCCCTCGGCTTCGGCTTCGGCTTCGGCTTCGCCTTCACTTTCACTCTCGCTCTGGCCCGCGTTGGCCCCTGCAAGGCTGTCATCCTTATCAAACCCGACGCCGTCGATCAGATCCCCGACCCAGGTCCGAGCGACGGGAATGCCGTTCGTGCGAAGCAGCTGAAGTTGTGCGCGGAGATTCAACCGTAGAGCCCGTTCCGGCTCGACCGAGTCGAAGATGCGGCGCGTCAGCCAGGGGAACAAGAGGCCGAAATCCGACTGCGAGAGGTGGGCCGATGCCTCGACGTAGAAGAAATTCGGCTCCGGAAGGCGGACGCCGCTCGGTCGCTGGTACAGGTCGGCGGTGACGACCTGAGCGGACGGGTCCGGGCACAGCACACGGGCGGTGACGTGGAGGTGCTCGGTCCACTTGTAGAAGGCGTCCGACTCGACGGCCAGGAGGGCCTTGCCGCCTGGTGCGGTGGGAACGTCGGCGTAGGCGGGGAGGGGCAGGTCGAAGAGAGCGGCCGAGTTGGGTGCGAGCAAGGGGAAGCACCACATGTCGAGAAGCATGGTCACGTTACGCTCAGTGACTTGGTTGCAGAGTTCGGAGTCCCGGCGCGGGGTGAAGAGGGGCTTGTCCATAGCGTCCAAGGCGGGGGAACCGGCGTAGTAGGTGCTCTTCAGGAATTGGACGACGGAGGCGGCGCCGAAGCTGTGGCCGGCGAAGATGATGCTCCCGGGCTCGTGTACGTGGAGGCGGTTCGCCAGGTGGGACAGGGTCGGGGTGGACTTGTTCAGGTTCGAGAGAGGGTGGCGACGGTCGTCGATGGAGAGGACGGCGGCGTGGACGAGGCCCAGTTCCCAGAGGCGGATGCGCTGCTGTTCTTCGCGGGCCTCGTAAATCTCGGGCTTTACCTCGTGCGATATTCGGTTGTAGGGGACGACACGGCTAGTGGAGCGGATGAAGTAGCGGTCCTGAGCGTCCGGAATACGGACGAAGGCGGTGACAGCGCTCCCGTCGCGGTGCTCGGGGCATATGACGACGATGCCGTGGGAGGCAAGAGAGCCGGCGAAGAAAGAGTAGGTGTTGCGGTTGCCGCCTAGGCCGTGGGAGAAGATCATGGTGGGCCATCGGGCATTCGGAGTGTTGGGTTCGAGAAGATTGGCATTCTTGTGGACGGGGATGGTGGTGTAATGGAGGTGTCGAGGAAGAAAGCTGTGCGGGAAAGGCGAGTTAGTGGCAGGCAAGCCTTAGGACTACCCTTCATTGCCTTCACGACAAGGGACAGACGCACGAGATGATGTCGGCCAGCAATGGGCGGAGACCGAGGAACTGAGTGTAGGCAGAGACATGATTCCTTTGCGGGGCGGGGAGCCAACTGATGTTGCTGCCGTTGGCATCCGGAGTGGCGGGATAGTAGATTCGAAATTGGACGGTGTGGATGTCCTGGGCGTTTTCGGGCACCGGACTGGGAGAGTCGAGCTCGGAGACGGGGATTTCGACGTCGACGGTGCCGACTTTGTGAGGGCCCGCATAGCTGGGGAAGGCAGGGATTGGGTTGAAGCGCGACAGGTAGGCACCGAGTTTGGAAGACGCGCTCGGCTGTTGCTCTGGGAGCGTCATGGTCGGTGTTGTCGTCCCGCCGATGTGGTGGTATACCGTATGTGGAATGGTGTGTCTGTCGGCGTGGTTGTAGTTGATGACGTAGAGATTGAATCGAGTAATTGAACTAGAGACGAAGATTATCCTTCTTTTCGTTTGCGTTTGCGAATTGTGTATTGCCTATCTCGCCGGAGAAGCCAAAGAAAGAAAGAAGAAAGAATTAATCGATCGAGTGGTGATCAGATCTGAGCGAGCGCGGTGGGTGCAACTGGGACGAACCGCAGCGTGCACGACGGAAGAGAGGCCCAATATTCAGTTGATTAAGCATCAGGGTCGCAAATGACAGGCAGGGAGGATTTGTGTCGTATATGGGCGCTGGATAGAGAGAATTGATGAAACGAAGAGAGATTGTAGGAAGAAAGGAGGAAACAGAGTGGCGGTTAGGGGAAAGCCTAGAATCGCCAAGTACCTTATGGGAGGAAGAATGGGAATGGCTTCATGCCGCCGCTTTCACATGGAAAAAGGAAGGACTAACCCAAGTCACTGTCGCTGTGCCCCGTAATTTGCAGTCGAGACCCCAATACCCACTTTTCCAGCCAAACTTGCGTTTCGACGCCTTCTTGACGTATTCGTAGAAGTACTGAGTACCTCTTAATGAGTTCTTTTCCAGTTACTCTGCGGTATGGAATACTTCAGAGATTTCATTGTACCTACCGTAAGGTACCTACTTCATAAGGTACCTTACGTCACCACGTAATATGTAGGAGATCTAAATCTCGCCACAGATGAGGTCCCGTACTGGTACCTACCTTGGGCAATCGAAGTTCAGCAGCCTTGGCAGTCGGACAAAGCCGAAGTCAAGAAATGCACATCAGGAAGACGAAAAGACCAAAAGAACGGGTTCCCAAAATTCGGGCCCTACGATGTAATTTGTGTCCGTTGCGAGATGGACACGCGACAGACACAGTTTAGCCAGGGGGTTAGTCACTGCTGTGTCGTCATAGTAAGGTACGTACGGAGTACAGAGGACAAAGTATTGCGACTCCGTACTGTGACCCCCGACTCACATCCAGGAGATTTTGTTCCCAAATCTGTGTCTGGCCACTTAAGGTAATTACTAATAATAATAATTCCTCCTCCGTGCCTAAAACAGCTCCTTCAACACACCGTCCGGTGAACCACGCGTATGATGGATCAGCGCCGGCCAGGCGATTAAATCCGCCAGAAGAGTGATACCCACACAACAAGTCATCGATGCATTCAAAATTGGGATTCTTCGTGGTCAACTATGTGCAAATATCGCACGTAGCTACTAGTTATGTCTCCCCCCCCCCGATATGCACACAGACCCGACCATCCCCCTTACAAAAGGCACTCATCAGTAGGCTCGGGGACCTCACTGCTAGTAGGGGCAGGGGTAGGGGTAGGCAGGCAAGAGCAAGCCGAGCTAACCCTCGAAATCACGTTCGTCTGGCACGCCTGGGCCGCATACTCGGGAACAACAGCCACATCCGCCACGAACGTCTTGGTGAATTCGCCGCAGAACTCCTGGCTCTCCTCCAGACGGCCCTCGATATGGCTAGCCCGCATAGCGCGCAGGCAGTTATCCGCACTGCACGAGTTCGGCTTGCAGCTCTCGCGCTTAGTCATCTTGACAAGGTACCCGCCGCGCTCGATCGTGTTAATAAAGACAAAGCCGGACGGGAACATAGCGTACGAGGACCACGAGCCGGAAAACTCGATAATACCGCCGCCGGGCAGGTCGTCGTCCTCGGGGTAGATATCGAAGTAGGCAATCTCGCACACGCCGTTACCTGTGGGGTCCTCCGGCACCGACGAGATATCGTACACGCGCAGGCCGGCCGCGTAGTTGGACTGGAAGATCAGGTCGCCGACGACGTACTGGTTGTGGTCGATAGACTTGACCGTGCCCTTGTATAAGCCGGTCTGCTTCGGGTTCTCCAGCGAGCGGATGTCCCAGATGTAGGTCACGGGGTAGCCGTCGCCGGCGGGACCCGACTTGTCGACCTCGTCGTATTCGTCGTCCATGAACAGCCACTCCTGCCAGTTGAGGTCGTTGACCCAGCCCTGGTGGGTGTACTCGGCTCCCTCGTAGGAGGTGCGCGAGATGATCTTGGTGTCGCTCTTGTCGGTCACGTCGTAGCTGTCACGGACGTTAGTTTGATAGTTTCAATTTGATTCTCCCCCTGTTGCGGGACAGCGAGGACTCTGTAAAAGTGGGCGAGCCCCCCCCCCCCCCAAAAAAAAAAGAAAGAAAGAAAGAAAGAAAAGGAAAAACGTACATGGTAAGGGTGTCCTCGTTATAGCCGTAGCAAATGTCACGGCCAAAGTACTTCTCGTCAGGGCCGCGGTAGATCAGGCATTGGGCCTAGTATTTTCACTTTTTGTTAGACGGCGAAACCTCCCTCACAATGCACGCAGCACACCATGACAAAGAAAGGCTTGTTTCCGAAAGCACTCACATCGTGGACATAACCATCCTTGCCATCGCAGCCCAGGGGAACGGGATTGGAAGGGTCCTCCAAGCTGAAGAAGTAAAGACCACCCATGCAACCCTGGTTGCGAGGCGTGACGCCGACGGCGGCGGCGTAGTTGGCCTCCTCGTTCACGACCACGTTGTGGCTGCGGCCCAGCGGGAGCGTCTCGATGAAGTGGCCCGTCAGGTCCTTGTCGTTGTCGAAGGTGACGGGCGCCTCGGCGGGGTCGATGTCCAGGAGCTTCCGCATGTCGAAGATCTGCACGCCGTGGTCGGCGAGCTCGCTGCCGATGAGCATGTAGTGCCTGTAGGGGCGGATCTCGGTCCAGTAGGCGCGGTCGCTGACGGGGGAGTATTTCGGGCTTTGGAATGGACAGTGAGTGTCAGTTGGGGCTCGGACAGATAGCACTTGGCAGTGAGGGGCGGTGTGGCGGGATGGGCCCTTGTTCGAGTTGAAAAAAAAAAGAGGATCTCCTTCACACAGCTTCAGGTTGGGGGATAACGAGATCAAAGACGACGTACAGGAAGCCCAGATGCAACATGCGACCCTCGGGCAGGATTTCGATCATGGCGCAGCCATCGTACATGCCGCTGACTATACAACACCGGTTAGCTTGGCGCGAAACGATCGATCATCCCCAGCGCTCGGATCCGGGGACACGGATGTTCAGTACGCACCAATAAACTCGCGGCCCGACTCGGGGTCGGTCCAGCCCCAGCTGGAGCTACCGCTCTTGCCACGGTACTCGGTGTTGGGCGAGCCGAGGGTGGCATGGTTGATGAAGTCGTACAGGTCGATCTGTGAGATAGTTTTGCGTTCGGGTCAGGCACGTGTACGGCGTGAGGAGAAAAGACCGAACATGAACCGGGGGTAGCCTATAACTCACGTTCCTGCACTTGAACTTGTGTAGAGGGTCGCCAGGGACGGCCTCAGCGTAGCCGTTGACGCACTTGGTGTAGCTGAGACGGGGCCAGTGGGAGGAGTTCATCAGGCCAACCTCTTCCTCGGCGTGCCAGTGGGCCTAATGCAGAGAAGAAGAAAAAAGTCAGACACAGTGCACCCTTTTTTGTTTTCTTTCACACCTCTGTCCATGTATGGGTTCGGTAGGTAGAGAAACAGAGAAACATACAATCTTCTCGGCCATGATCTCCTCATGGCGAACACCCGAGTCGAAGAGCTCGGCAGCGCGAGCTTCATCGACGGCCATCTCGCTACCGAGGACGGAGGCGGCCATCAGGGCCATGGCGGCCCCGGACTTGGTAGTGAAGTGCATGATGGGCGAGTGTGATTGTCCCGGGGAATGGTGGGACGGTGTTGAGAAAGAGGTGAAACGGACAGGGCGATCTGGGTAGCACGACCAAAGATCACTGATCACCTTCTGCGAGCTCGGAGGATAGGAGAGAAGATGCAGCGGAGAGGGACGTTGGTATTTATCTGTGATCAGCACGAGCCGGGGCTGCAGTGGGGCGGGTTGTAATGATAATGAGACAACAAGGTCCCGCAGGAACCCGACGTATTGGTCTTGCAGGGGAGGAGGGTGTGGACTGTGGTGGCCTACAGTCCTACAACGTACTCTACCCTCACCGCGGCACCAGCCTCCATCACATGGTGGGTTGATGGGTGGAAACTGGAGTCCACAAAATTCTCATTGGCCTTCAACGCTGGGTTCGCAGGCAAACTAAGAGGAGGGGCAAAGGAAGCTATGAGAGGGAGGGCAAGTAATTAGCAGAATAATGGGGATGGAGCCATGGGCCCTGGATAGTAGCTTTGGACCACTTGGTCGGCCTTCCTGGAATAGGCAGGAAAGGGACCCTCTTGGGCAGGTCGGGAGGTCGTGAGGAATGTCAGCAAACCCCAATGCTTGTCACCTGTGTCTCTGTCCTTGATACGAAGAGAGACGGAGGACAGCATGGCAAAGAGGGAGTGTCCGGGGTCCAAGCTAGGGCGACGAATAAAACCGAGTGATACTGAAGGTTCGGAAGACTGTGGGGACGTGAGTGCCGGGGTGTTGATAAACGGCAGTGGAAATAAAGGCCCGATGAGGAAGGAGGCTCGGGTTTGCGGGTTGAGCCAAGAGAAGCCAAGACGCCTAGAAACGTCCCCCATCAAGTCATCAAGTGGGCGCGTCGAGCTTCTGTCGAGCTTCTGTCGAGCTTCGCCTCCCAAGGCCGTAGAAATCAAGCCAGCCCAAGCTCAGCCCTGGGGATGCGGCGGCGACGACGACGACGACCCGGACAACCGGCGGCTTAACGTTGTACAGCCGGATTGCGGTATTGACGAGCTGATGTCGGCGGCGGATTGACTTGTTCTCGAATTGCGGGGTGGATGGGATTATGTGTTACCTAGTAACCTGCTCCCTTTGGAAAGGCTCGCTAAAGACTCTCCATGGAGGTTGAGTGCCTATCCTGTGGTATCGGTGGTATCAAGAGTCGCTAGACTGATTATGGATGATTTGAGGATTCTGGAGATGTGTTTTCTTCATTTGGACATGACTCGGCTGCCAGTTCTAGCGTCTTTGGTCGATAATCGAGATGATCATGCCTTTATTGTGAAAGCGGCCACGATATTTGTGGCCACGATATCTCCTAGGATGGACCGCAGACCTGTGACCTGTCTGCCTCTTGGTCGTCGAATCTTATCACGCTTTCCTTGGCGTATGACCCAGATCAGATTGAACGATGTCTTCTCGTGCACCCGGTCGACCTAGGGAGATAGGATGGTGGTGGTGATGAATCTGATGATAATGCTGAGAGAAACGCGCCTTGATTGTACTGGTCGGTGATGGTGGGAAAGAAAGGGAAATGGTAGGTGGAGGCTTACGTACTTTGCTTACATAGCCTAAAACCTACTCCGCACAAAGAGACATTGAAAATACTTCGCGAAACACAACAAAGAAAAACGACACGTGACTTCGCGTGGAATGCGTGTGTCCATGAGTAAGGTACCTAGAGGTCCTCCCTTTGTCTTCAGCACCTGTTTCTTGTTCAGCAATGGTTTATGCCGTATCGTCTTCCATGTATTTCCTCTTTCTTTCCGACAAACTACCATGAACACCATAACCCAACCACGGCAATGCTTGACACGACAACTAGGTCCGGATCCATCGCCGAGGGCGATAATTGTGCGCCCAATAAGGCCCGAGATAGTCAAGAGATACTGGCCAAGTACATGGTTCAGTTTGGCGTTGGCATGGTGCGTCTCCTCGTTTCTTCATTCCCCCATTCCCCCATTCCCCTTTGATTGCTTTTTCTCCTGTCCTCGGCTGCCCTTACGCTCTCCTCAATCCTTCGTCTGCCATCTCTTTGACCCCGCGTCCCGTGGCGTTGTTGCTGTGGCGCTCGCCTGCCCCGCCACACCGCGCTAACCCTTGTTGACTTTCTCGACTATCTCGACCATCCCTGTAGACTTTCAGCTTCTCGAGTCGCGACGAAGAAGACGAAGAAGACGATTCCTCCCAAAGTAGCTCCGTTGCTGCGCCATCTCAAGTTTCCGCCACGAAGATAGCGGCCATCGACAAATCCGTACCAGCCGTGCAATTGTCGACTCCACCAACCACCTCTTCGAAATCTCGCAAACGAAATACAGCGGTACGTCGTATACTACAGCCTTCGGGCTCGCGCCGGCAGCAAGCAAGTAGCCGTCATTGTCATCTATGCATAGACCAAGCTGACCCAGGCAGAACCAGGGCCGAACCCCTACGACGAATCATTCTCTCCCACAAGGCTCCGAGTCCGAGTCCCGTACCGCTTCCGACAAGCTCCAACCTACTTCTTCGTTCGAGGCAACCGTCGAAGCGGAGTCTTCATTGCATACAATCTCCCACCCTCAGAATCTCGCGCCGGATCGTCCCAATCCCTCCCGTCGCAAGAACAAGAAACACAGCCACAGCCACCATGCGGTAACTCCTCAGCCGAAGAGGCCCGCCGCGCAACACCCACGTCTACCGACTACATCTCATGCCTTCCTTCCGCAATCCTCCGCCCTACCCAATAATCCCAACATGGACGCATCACAGTCGTCCCCGACGCAAGAAAACGACGAGCGGGATTATCGAGAGCATTACGAGCCTGCATCGCCCTTGCCCCGTAGCCCACGCTCTACGACGTCAGATCCAGAAGCCGAACATCAACACGAGACGCTTGATGAGAATGATACCGGGGCAGTCAACTTTGGAAGCCTGAGCCACCACGCTCACACCACCGATACCCAGGTCACTCACGTCACCCACGTCACTCACATCATGCCCGTCACTCAGGTTACCCAGGACTCGTCACCGCTAGCCGATGGCCCTGGCCCTCTGAACACGCGAGGCGCTTGGCGGACGCGTCAGTCTAGCTCCCAACAGCAGTCGTCGCTCGTGAGGCCGGAGGGTGCAGGTGCTGGTGCTGGTGCTGGTGCTGGTGCAGGAGGCCAAACCCCCTTTCGGAACACACAATGGGCCCGGGCCCCCGAGACGCCCGCACCGCCCTTGAACCCGTTCGCCGGCCATCCCAAGCTAGGAGGACAGGCCTTGGCTGCTTCCCAGCTTTTCGGCCAAACCCCGACCCTGTCATCGGCCGTCAAAATAGGGTTGAGCCCCACCTCCTCCCGGCCCTCGCCGAACATACCATTCCAGAACACCATATCTCCCAACTTCGTCGAGACCTCTCCTCTCAAACGCGATTTCAACATAACCTCCCCTACCGTAGGCCCCACGTCGAGCCCCCGAATCATGGGCGGCGAGGGACCCAGTCGGTCCTCTCCCAGCGAGGAGACTCCCGTTCCCAGTCGCTGGCCGCAGGGCCGTTCTCTATCCGAAACGCCCCGGGAAGCGACAAGCAAGGCTTTTCGTCGCCGCCCAGAACCGATGGATCATTACGAGTCTATGCGAACGTCCCAGGCGCGCAGATTAAGCAGCGACGACTTGCCCGCCCCACAGAGCTGGGACGAAGACGATGACGACGCTCTGAATGCCATGGCAAAGAGGAGACGAGCAAACATGAAGAAAGAGGCGGCAATGAAGGAACTCGCCAGCATCAGCGTTCGTCGACCTTCATCGCGTGGCGACGGTGACTTGACTTCTTCAACTACACGCAAAGGAAGGCCCAGAAAACGTCGGCGCCTCACAGCTGAGCATGTTGTCCATGTCCCGCCTCAGGAGGCAGCACCAGCACCAGCTGCAGAAGATCAGGATGACATGTCGACAATAGCAGACTCGCAGGACCCACCACCGCCTCCATCGAAGGCCTCCGCGCCGGAGCCATCGCCGCCCGGATCGCCAACTCTCGAGGGCCCTGTCGATCCTGTTTCCAGCCATGGCGTGGTCGTCAATAGCACAGAGCAGACGGCCGAGACGGAAGGTGAGCCCGAAATGGGCGACATCCTAGAAAACAGCTCCAAGCCAAGAGACACAATCCCGGAGACCAGCCCCGCGCCTCAGCCTAAGCCATCTAACAGCACAGCAGCGTCAAGACCAACTTCAGAGGCACCTGAACCTTCGCAACCTCAACCACTTCGACGATCCAATCGTAAATCGATTCCGTCGGTCAAGGCCACGTCTCTCATATTGGACAGCAAGGGCACCGTTGCATCCGACAGCGAAAGAAACGCGGGCGCAAAGAGGACAAGCACACAGCCACTGGCCCCAGACTTGGACCCATCAGGGGCTGAGGAGGTCCAGGAGGTTCGGGAAGCCGGCTTGCCCTTGCCTTCCGATCCCTCTGTGGTCCTAGAGTCAAGCCCACATCCGACGTATATAGTCTCCCGCGATTTACCGTCGTCGCCGCCTCCATGTACTACGCAGGCCATTGCGAAGCTCGGTCCCAATCATCGCGCCACGAGGTCAACAACAAAAGGCCCCTCGACGCCTGTGGCCCCCTCGTCCACGGCACCGGCAGTACTCCCCGGATCGACTTCGACCTTGAGCGCCCTTTCCGTGACGCCGGCGTTGTCCTCTACAACGACACCTGCTACGCAGGAAGAAGAAGCCGATGGGGAACCACAATCATCGCCTGCAAAAACCAACGGTCGACGCCGAAATGAGCCTGTGCTCCCACGACTCAAGACCGGGTCGGCCGTTTTGAACCTACGCATGACTAGGCGTACGAGGAACACTCGACGCTCGCTCCGACTCGACTCCGCCTCTACGGACGAACTGGCGGGTTCGCCATCTGCCTTGGGTTTTGAGAGGAGCATATCCCGACCGCCCAGGGCGAGCTTCCGCGCCAGTACTCGAGGCCAGCATATGACGACACAACTACGAAAGGATGCCGGGCCGGACACGAAGACATTGTTCGCCGGCATGGCGTTTGCCGTCTCCTTTCAACTGAAGAGGCCGGGGGAAACCGCGGACCAGTACAACCAACGGCTCGCGCAGAGCCAGGAGATCGAAAAAAAGATCCAGGAGGCGGGCGGGCATCTCCTGTCGGACGGCTTCGACGAGCTGTTCCAGCCCACGGCGCTGCACACCGTGGCCCTGCACCCCCGAGAGGCCGGCGGCGAGGCGGGCGAAACGCGGGCGACGCTCACACTGACGGCGGCGGCGCAGTCGCTCGGCTTCACGGCCCTCGTGGCGGACGGACACTCCCGCAAGTTCAAGTACATGCAGGCGCTGGCGCTCGGGCTGCCGTGCGTCTCGGACCGGTGGGTCACCACGTGCCTGGAGAAGAAGCAGGTCGTCGACTGGATCCCCTACCTGCTCTGCGCGGGCCAGTCGGCGTTCCTCCGGGACGCGATCCGGTCGCGGTACCTCGCGCCGTATCCCGCCACCGAGGCCCGGCTCGCGGACGTCGTGGAGCGGAGGGACCGACTGCTCCGCGACAGCAGGATCCTCCTCGTGATGAAGAGGTCCCGGCAGGAGGACAGGAAGATGCCGTACGTGTTCCTGGCGCACGTGCTCGGCGCGGCGCTGTCCAGGGCGTACAGCGTGGAGGAGGCGCGGGAGATGATGCGGCGGGGCGAGGGGCGAGGGGCGCCGTTCGACTGGGTGTGGTTGGACGAGAAGACGGGGACGGAGGACGGGCTCTACGCGCAGACGCAGACGACGCGGGCGCAGGATGCGGCGGGAGTGTCGAAGAAGAGGAAGAGGGGCAGTGCCGGTTCTGCTCATGCTTCTGCTCTGCCGGTGCCGGTGCCGGAGAGAGTCCGGACTCTCAGCGACGAGCTTGTCATCCAGAGCCTCATTCTGGGGAGGATGATCGAAGACGGGGAGCTGGAGGGATAAGCCAATGCATTGTGTATAAAGGGGGATTTTGTATAATTATTGTTGGGTATGGGCCTCGGCTTAGGATGGACGGCGACTTTGGAACCAGGTTGAAGCAATGAACAATGTTCACAATACTCATCGGTGCCAGGACCGAGAGTAGGACACAGGGGTCGAGCTCCCGTCTGTCGTCGTCTTCTTCATTCCTCAACTTCCACGGATATCGGCGTCCCCTCGAACCCCATTGAGCACACGACACAACCTGTGCTCTTTACTGAATACCCCTCGGGGAAAAGAAAGTTGTGTTTATTGGTGGATTTCATATTTTTTCTTCCCGAATACGACCCAACGCGTCCAAAGGAACGTGGGACGTCTTGTTGGATTGTGTGGATCGAAATGACGAGAGGAACGTCTGCGGACCATCCGGTCCCCCACGTGCGGAGGAAAGCCCCGGCCATTGGACGGCGTCCGTGAGCCGGGCCGGCGCCGAGCTTAGAAGCGCCACCAACGCCCCGCCCGGGGGGGGGGGGGGGTTCTTATGCTTTGCTGACGACTTTCTCTAAGATATGGTCAAGTTACACACGTGGTGTTCGAGGAGGGCTTCGATTCATCAGCGGTAAACGGTGTCGAAGCTTTCCAGAAATTTAGCTATAGCTTAGTGAACATTGAAACGAACGTGGTATTGTACGCTACAGGGGTAATAGGTGGTATAGCTAGACCGACATACAGACGGATGGCGTGGGGTCCACATGAGCCCAAATATGTCGTCCTGGGCTGATGCGAGCTTCCATAAGAGGTTCGAGCTGGCTGTCTCTATACTGAGTCGTATCTGAACGTCTTGCCCTCCTCTCTACGTCCTCTTTGACGCCTGCAGCTTCCATCTTAGAGAAAGACCTTCCGAACCCGTCTCTCTTTCTCCCTGCCCCTTTTGCCTCTACCTGAGTCGGTATCGTCTATTCTCCTCCCATCATGCTGTCCAAAACCCTCCTCCGGGCCGTTCTCCCCAACCTAGTCGCCGCTGCGGCCCTCCAGACCCGCCTCGACTCGAGCTTCGACTACAGCTCCCTCAGCCTGAGGAACATCGGCAGCCGTAACACCCTGGTAAGTTCTCTTTCTCTTCCCATATCCATACGTACTCCGCCGAGTCCGCCTTGCTAACCACATGATCTTTTTCCCGTGCTTGTTCTCCTTTCTCCAGGAATGGCGCGTCTGGCTCGAGAAAGACGGCCACCCCATCTCCTTCTGGCACGACGTACCACTATACCCGGACGCGGCCAACAAGCGCATCGTCAACTTCGTAGTCGAGATCCCGCGCTGGGAAGACGGCAAGATCGAGATCCGCCGCCAGGAGCCCCTGAACCCCATCTTCCACGACGATCGCAACAGCCTCCCGCGCTTCGTCGAGAGCGTCTTCCCCCTCAAGTCGTACCCTTTCCTCTACGGCTCCATCCCGCAGACGTGGGAGTCGCCGAATTTCAATCACGATTTCACGAACGCCCCCGGCGACAACGACCCCATCGACCTCTTTGATGTTGGACAGGATGTCGGGTATATTGGCCAGGTGAAGCAGGTCAAGATTTTGGGCGCTCTGGCTCCTAATGATGGGGGGGAGACGGATTGGAAGGTGTTGGGGATTGACGTGAATGATCCCATTGCTCCTCTTGTTGATGGTACGTGGGGCTTTGGACTTTCTCGTCTTTCAACGTGGCATGTTCGCTGACGTTTTCCCGTCGAAAAAAAGACTTTGAAGATCTCGAGCTGTATCGTCCAGGCCTCCTCAAGGCCTACCGCGACTGGTTCACTGTACGTCCTTCGCCCGGA